TCTGACAGCCTTATGGTAGCTCCTTTGTAGGTAGCCCATTGCTTTTCTCTTGCTTCCTTTTAGATTCTCTCTTTGTCTTTAATTTTTGACATTTTAATTATGTGTATTGGCATGGGTCCCTTTGGGTTTCTCTTGCTTAGTACTCTCTGTGCTTCCTGAACTTGTGTGACATTTTCTTTCACCAATTTAGGGACATTTTCTGCCACTACTTCTTCAAACAAGTTTGCCAACCCTTGTTCACTTTCTTCTTCTGGTATTCAAATATTATGTTTCATGTTGTCCCATAGCTCTCTTAAACTGTCCTCCTGTTTTCTAATTGTTTTTTCTTTGTGGTTCTCTTATTGAGTGATTTTTGTTTGTTTTTTTCTACCCTGTCTTCTGATCTGATTTTCTATGCTGATCCAATCCTCAGCTTCCTCTAATCAGCTGTTTATACTATGTCATTCTTCACTTCCAATTGGTTGTTTTTCATTTCCGATTGTTTTTCATTGTTTCTATATCTTTTCTCATGCTGTTGAGCATCTTTATAATCTTTACTCTTAACTCTATATCTGATAAATTATCTCCATTTAATTTAGCTCTTCTGGAGAATTGTCTTGTTTTCTTCATTTGGGGCTTGTTTCTTTGTTTCACCATTTTAGCTGCCTGTTTGGATTTGTTTCTATGTATTTGGTAGATGTGATACGACTCCTAGTCTGGGTAGTGTGGTCTGTGGTAGTAGGTGACCTGTGGGACCCAGTGGCATAGTCTCCATGATCACCAGACTTGGATGCTCTAATAATGTCCCTTGTGTGCTTTGTGTAAGCCCTCCTGTTGTAATCGCATCTTGATTGCTTTTGTCCCATTTGTACGTGGGCTCAGCCCTCTGGCTGGCTCCCAGTGATGTTCAACACTAACACAGAAAGAAGGCTGCTGTGCATTTGCTTATCATGTGAAATGCAATTCACCTCAGCAGGGTTTGGAACCTGCCAAGTTATCCCTGTGGATATCAACAATATGCAGTTTGTGGCCCCCTCTACTGGGCCTGGATGTATGTGGAAAGGACCAATCTGTACACCAAGGTTTGGTTTTACTCTCCCTGGGCAGAATCGCAGGTCAGGCAAAGAATCAAAATCACCCAGAGGTCTGCCTCTGTCTATAGGCTATCTGTTAGTCTCATTCAGTTAATGAGCCTTACATTGTAGTCCTCAGGTAGATGTAAACTCCACTTGGGTGGGCAGGGTGACAGAATTTCCAATGAGTGGGGCAATTGTCTCCCCCTCCCCCCAGGCTAAATCTTCTTTGATGAGAAAATTCTGTCTGCGAAAGATGGCTTCTTCTCTTTGGGGTAATGACTCAGCACATGGACCCAGGCTGCGGCCTTCACAGCTCTCTCCCCAGAGTCTTGAACTCCAGAGTCCATAAGCCAGGCAAAGACTCAAAGCCCCCAGAGATCTATTTCTGCCGGCTGCCTGTTAGTCTCAGTCACTTAATGAGCCTCAGGTTGTAGTCCCCTGCTAGACATAAACTTCACAGGCGGGGTGAGGGAAATTCCAATGGGTGGAGAAGTTGTTTTTCCCCTGGGCTAAAGCTGCTTTGATGGGAGAACTCTCCCTGAGAAAGGTGGCTTCTGCAGCGTGGGGTAATGACGCAGCACAGGGATCCAGGCAGTGGCTTACACAGCTCTCTCCCAGAGCCATGAACCCCAGAGTCTTAGCACACAGCTCTAGTGTGCCTTGCCCTCCCTGTGCTGGAGCCCAGAGTGAGTGGCTGCAGACAAAATTTAGTGCATTGGCCTTTCAAGAAGGTACCTGTGTTTCCAGCCCTTTTCCCCTGCCAGATAGAACCTCCATTTGTTATGTGGGCACATTTCCCAGTTCAATTACTCAGATCTGGGGAGCCCAGCTTGGGGTTTAGGCCCAGGCCCTCAGGCATATCCTTCCGCAGCTGAGATATCCCTCCAGAATTTCAGCTGCTGCTTGTGGGAGCCCAGCCAGCCCTCTCACACCTCTGTACTTTCTACCTGATTTGATGTGGTCTCCTCTTTATGTCCTTGGTTATAAGGGTTTTCTCCAACTAGTCTTCAGTTGGTTATTCAAGATGATTTCTCTATATTTCAGGTGTAATTCCTGTTTGGTTCTGGGAGAAGGTAGTGTAGCTTCCATTCAATCCACTGCCAATTTGGAATATGTATGATAGTATCAGGGTTTGGGTTTGGGCTATTATTTCTTTTGTTACTGTCCAAGGTCACGCATGAAGTAGTATCTAGCTGTGGAAAACCAGTAGTCTCTTAAGTCAACCTTCAGAAGCTATGGAGATTCATGGTTCAGAATCACTTTACCCTCCCAGGTTTCCCCATGTGCTTTTATTGAATTTGATAAAGAGTGAAAGAGAGAGAGGGAAGGAGCGAGAAAGAGAGAGAAACATCTATGTGAAAGAGGGACACATCAATTGGTTGCCCCTCACATGAGCTGCAACCAGGGCCAGGGAGTGAACCTGCGACCCAAGTATACATGCCCTTGTCTGGGAATTGAACCTACAACCTTTCGGTGCATGGCTCGACACTATCCACTGAACCACACTGGCACAGGCTCACCTCATTGTTTCTTGTCTGTCAAGAGAATGAACTGTTAAAAGGGAGGATGCCAATGGGGCTGTTCTGTCATCTCTTATCCCAGAGTCAGAAACAACCATGGGCTGAAGTCATACACAGGAACTTGGTCTATGGGGAGAGGTGGCTTCTTTTTCTAACAGAAATGGCCTCTTCTGGGGCCCGTTGGGTGCTCCCATCAGCTGCAGTTTAAGTTCTTTTTGGGAAGGCAGTGAAACTAGGAACTGTGTGGTGGTGTGGAGTGCTCTCTTTGGCCTCTCTGGGATCCCTGAGTGTTGTCTGCCTTTGGTTCCAGACTGTCTTGTCTTATGAGCACTGGGTTATGTGACTAATGAGGTAGCCCATGCATACCAATTTCTGGACCTACGCTGCACAGTACGGGAGCCAAGTGCTACTGGCCAGGCTGAGATGTGCCCAGGGTCAAATGCATGTGGATATTTCAAAGGCATAGTCTAAGAATAGAATGTAGTATTATTAATAATTTATGTTGATAACATAATGAAATTGTAATTTCTTGGGCATGTTGGGTTAAATGAAAAGTGTGGTTACGCCCTGGCTGGTTTGGCTTAGCGGTTGGAGCATCTGCCCGCTATCCAAAGGGTTGTGGGTTTGATTCTGGACAAGTGCACGTACCTCGGTTGCAGGTTCGACCCCTGGCCCTGGTTGGGGTCGTGTGGGAGGCAACCAATCAATATGTCTCTCATATCAATGTTTCTCTCTCCCTCCCACACTCTCTAAAGAAATCAATGGAAAAATATCCTCAGGTGAGGATTAACCAAAAAAAAAAAAAAAAAGTAAAGGAAAAAGTGTTATAATTTCGTCTGTTTGGTTTTTTTTTTTTTTTTAAATGTGGCTTCTAGAAAACATGAGGCACACATTGTATTTTTGTTGAACAGCTTTGTTCTGCCCAGTTCGAAGTAAAGTTTGAGGCTCTCTTGGAGGCAGGGGAGGTATGCTTTAATATATTTGTTCTTGGTTCTGTTTTGTATCTTCCTTTGTGTTCTTCATTTACTGTAATTAGGCACATAACTTGGTTTCCTGGATTCCTGTAGACTCAAATCTCAGGACTTGAGGAGGGGTATAGAAATAAAAGGATTAAGAGGCATCATACACTGGGTTGTTGGAAGGGCTGAATGAGGTGTGTGGGAGCCAGTGGAGGCAATGTTACTCTTGGTCAAGTGTAGGCCATATCTGAGCACGGATAGCAGGCAGACACTGGTGAGTCCAGTTGGCTGTTGCCGGGCTCCTGGAGGGAGTTCCTTAGCTGAGTGTCTTCTGGCATACTACTCTTTAGGAGTGTCCTTGGCTTGTTGGGTTCCAGGAACTTGATCAAGAAAGGGCAGAGGTAGAAACTTGAGGCCAGCACTCCTTCCTACTCTCTGTCCCAGGTGGTCCTGGACCCAGTGAAGCACTCAAGCTAGTGTGCCTAGTAACTTCTCCCTGAGGCTCTTCCTTTCTCCCATAGGATCTACTTCATTGGGACCTGAGGTCACTGTCACCCTATTCCTGAGCAGGGTCAAGGTCTCTCAAACTATATGATCTTTCCTTATCTGGCCTTATTTGCCCATCAGAACCTCATGATTCTGTATCCTGCATGTCCTTGGACCTTCCTTTCTTCCCCCAGTTGGAATACTGCAGACAGCTTCCACTGTTATCTCCCTGGGCTCTCCACTCATTTCTCACATTGCTCAGATAGGCCTTCCTAAGCCATAGGCCAGGTTGCACCAGGCTTTGAGAGGCTCCCCTCCCCTGTGCCCCAGCTTCTCTGGCTTCTCATCTGAGCACTTGCCTCCTGGGCATCTGCCTGTCACTGGTGCTTTCTGTGCATTCATCAAGGCCTAGTCAGGGCAAATGTTCTGGGTATCCGCCCCAGGCTTATGCTGCCCAGGTAGGTGTCTCTGCTGCCCTCACCACCTAACAGGCCCACCCCTCCTATGGCTCTTCACACCATGAGGGTCTGTTGCTTACCTGTGGGGCCATAAATTTTCACCTCTGTGAGCCCTGAATTCTCAGGTCTCGTGCTAAGGTGTGATTTGTGTAGTATGTATGCTGAGCTAGTGGCTCAGGGAAGAGACTATTAGCTCTGAGGAGACTCCTGACTGAAGTTTGAGAAGGAGCTGGTATGATCTCAGGGAGAATGCATAGGCTGCTGCCACCTCACTTGTGCATGAGTGTTCCATTCTCCAAACCTTGATTTCCTGACTTTTAAAGTGGGAATTTTACTTCCTGACATAGGTAAGTTGTGAGATAATATTAGACTATAGATTAGGTCTCTGACAAGGAGCAGTGCCCCCCTCCATTTTTTCCTTTTCCTGGTTTGGTGGGCTTTTCTCTCTGTATGCACTTCCTGCTCACCCAGCTCCCTGGAGGCTCCTTTCCCTGGCTCTAACTTTGCCCCTATCTGTGGCAGGAGGAGCTGGAGCACCTGAACCAGGCCAGCGAGGAGATCAACCAGGTGGAGCTGCAGCTGGATGTGAGTGTCCTGCCCCAGGTGTCTCCATGTGTCTTCTCTCCCTGTTCACACAGTGGCAGGGGAAGGGGTGATACAGGAAACAAGGGACTGGGACTTGCGCACAATGTTTCCTCTGCCCACACATCTCTCCCTTTGCCAGGAGGCCAGGACCACCTATCGGAGGATCCTGCAGGAGTCAGCAAGGAAGCTCAACACTCAGGGCTCCCACTTGGGGAGCTGCATTGAGAAGGCCCGGCCCTATTATGAGGCTCGTCGGCTGGCTAAGGAGGTATACCTTGCTCTGGGAGGGCCGCACACGAAACCTGGCCCAGGATTCTTCTGTATGGAGTAGGAAACAGATCACCTTTTCTCTCCCTTTTGGTTCATGTCTCTCTCTCTTTTTTTTTTTGCTTACTCTCTACTTCTTGACCCTTCTTCCTCTCTTTTCTTTTCTTTTCTTTTCTTTTCTTTTCTTTTCTTTTCTTTTCTTTTCTTTTCTTTCTTTTCTTTTCTTTTCACAAAGTGGATTCACTATTAGAAGACTGTAATTGTAACAGTAAAACAAGGTAAAGAGAAGAAAACAAAAATTGCCCCAAATCCTACCATGCACATGTTTCATGATTTTTGTATGGGCTTGGGCATGCTTTCTTTCTGTGAGACTTGGTCCATGTCACTAATCCCCTTACAACTATCATGGTGTGGACTTTTCTTTGTTCCTAGGGCAGAAGGCCAGTGGCCTCTGAGACTGCTGGGTCTCACACACTTACCCTCCACTGGCAGCATCGTGCTTTCCCATCTACTTTCAGGCCACATCCTTACAAAATACTCTTCGTAGAATGTTGTTTCTTTGGTTGGCATTTATCCTTAGTGCGCTGTGAAAAGTGAAGCCGACATTGCAGTGGGCCTTCCTCCTCTTGTCCTCACCTAGAATAGGTCTCCGTGGTTGGCTGTGAGTCCATTAGGACTCCCCCCAGTTCTGATGGCCCTCTCCCTCCAGGCCCAGCAGGAGACACAGAAGGCAGCCTTGCGATATGAGAGGGCTGTGAGCATGCACAATGCTGCACGGGAGATGGTGTTTGTGGCCGAGCAGGGTGTCATGGCTGACAAGAACCGATTGGACCCCACATGGCAGGAGATGCTCAACCACGCCACCTGCAAGGTGAGCCAGGCTTTCCAGCAGATTTCCTCCCCTGGTTCCCATGCTTCCTTTGCTGTCTCTTTATCCCATTATGCTCCTCACTCCTTTTTCTCTGTTTTCCACGCCAGGCTCAGCTTTAACTGTTTCAGCAGACCTGTTTCTTGCTATACTCTGTTTGGTCTCCAGTGCTTTTCATGTACATCTCCTCTGGACTCAGACTGGCTCTTTCTGAACCTTTGCCTTTAAGTTAGGGACTAACCCAAATAGTTTATCCCTGCTGGATGCTCTAGATTCAACACTCACATTTTGTTATGTTTAACTGTGACCCCTTCTCTTTTTCTTGCTTTTAAGCTCTGCAACTGTACTTTGATATTTGAAATGTAATTTGTATATCATTTCAAAGCTATTTGACGGGGACCGAGGAGCAGGAGGATTCCTGGCATCAGTTCCATTCTGCCACCTTCACCATGTCTCAGTCCATTCAGGCTATTATAACAAAATAACATACGCAGCCCAGCTGGTGTGGCTCAGTGGTTGAGCATCGACCCATGCACCAAGAGGTCACTGATTTAATTCCCAGTCAGGTCATATTCCCAGGTTGTGGGCCCTATCCCCAGTGGGGGGCATGCAGGAGGCAGCCAATCGATGTTCTCTCTCATTGATGTTTCTCTTTCTCCCTCTCCCTTCCTCTCTCTCTAAAAATTAATAAAGAAAAAAAAATAACATACATTTGGGGCTTAAACAACAACTGTTTATTTCTCATAGCTCTGGAGGTTGGGAAGTCAACATCAAGGCACAGGCAGATCTGGTGTTTAGTGAAGGCCCGCTTCCAGGTTCCTAGACTTCTGGCCCTCTTTTCACTGCCCTCACATGGCAGACGGGGCGAAGGAGCTCTCCAGAGTTTTTTTTATAAGAGCACTAATCCCACCCATGACCTAATCACCTCTCATATGGCTGCCTCAGAAACTATCAACATAATGGTTAGGATTTCAGCATGTGAACTTTGTGGGGACACAAACATTTAGTCTAGAGCAGCAAGTTTGACCTGAAGGTTGGTTATGCCTCAGGTTCTTTGAGGACTCCTTAGTCCAGGCCCATTGCCTTGTATAGATCAAGAGCTCATATAGGAGAGTGCAGCACTGGGGAGGGCTTGTTGAGCTGTGAGTGGCAGGGCATGACAGAGTTCCAGTGTGCATCTCCCAAGTGTGTGGCAAGGATGGCCCCCTGGTCTTGGAGGACAAGGTGGTGGGAGTCCTTGCCTGCTTCCTGTTGGGGTATGAAAACCCAGAAAACCCAGTGCAGAGCTATGGCTACCCCTACTAGGGCTCCTCTGGTCCCCTCACCTCCTTCCCCTAGCACTGAGGGCTCCCTGAGGATGATGACTGGGAGATGTTCCCAGACAGACATTTCTGACAGGCTCACAGTTCTTCAGAGGGCCCTGGCACCCTCCTAGCAGCAGCAAAACTTAGTGGTGGTGACATAGGTAACAATAGGCAGGTGTAAGAACCCACTATTCTCCTTTGTGTCTCAGGAAATCCATGCCCTCTCCAGGCTCTCCAGATAGTAGAGGTTTTCCCCAGTATAACATTTGGAGTGGCAGTCTGGGGTAGATGATAGGGGCAGGAGCATGTCCTTCAGCTCAGTGATGTGTGTCATCCACCCGACCTGGGCCAGGTGAATGAGGCGGAGGAGGAGCGGCTTCGTGGAGAGCGGGAGCACCAGCGGGTAACGCGGCTGTGCCAGCAGGCTGAAGCTCGGGTGCAAGCTCTGCAGAAGACCCTCCGGCGGGCCATTGGCAAGAGTCGCCCCTACTTTGAGCTCAAGGCCCAGTTCAGCCAGATACTGGAGGTAGCTGTGGGGCGTGGGGGTCAGGCAGGAGAGGGAAGGCATGGAAAGAGAGCTGGGAAACTGTGGTCTGCCTCTCTGCCATCACCAGACCAGCTAGATGGGACAGGTGGTGGTGCCTGTGCTCAGAATGACCTAAAGGAAGTGGGAGGTGGAGTTGGGGACGGGTACTGGTAGAGATTGAAGTTGTAGGGAGGTAAAGGAGAAAAATAATCAGGAAAGGAGGAGGAGCAGATGGGTGGGGCAGGGCAAGGCTGCCCAATGGGCCTGGGGACTGGCAGCTCCCAGCTGTGGAGAGTTGCCAACTGGGTTATTTCACTCTGTCCCTCCCTCCTCCCTCCCTCCCCCTTTCCTCTTTAGGAGCACAAGGCCAAGGTGACAGAGCTGGAACAGCAGGTCGCTCAGGCCAAGACCCGCTACTCCGTGGCCTTACGCAACCTTGAACAGATCAGTGAGCAGATTCACGAGCGGCGTAGGGGCCTGCCCCTTCATCCCCCTGGACCTCGGCGCTCCTCCCCTGTGGGTGCTGAGGCTAGGCCCCAGGAGGAGGAGGAGGATGGAGACAGTGGGATTATTGAGGGGGCCGAGGGCGAGGCCCTGGAAGAGGGCTGCAGCCTGGGGCCCGGTCCTGCCCCTGATGCAGACACTCTGAGCCTGCTGAGCCTGCGCACAGTGGCCTCGGACCTGCAGAAGTGTGACTCCGTGGAACACCTACTGGGCCTCTCGGACCACACCAGTCTAGATGGCCAGGAGCTGGGCACCCGGAGTGGAGGCTGCAGGGGCCGCCACCAGCGCAGCATCAGTCTGTAGCCCATGCTCAGGTTGGCTGGTGTGTCCCTTACCACTGCTAGCCCACTCAGGGCCAGTGGGCTCCCACCTCCTTTCTGGGGTTCTTGTTTCCCTGGAGAATTTCCACAGATTGGCCGTGTCTGAGTTCTCCTGTCACTGGTGTGTGTCTCATCCCCACTTGCCTATGTTTCAGGTGACAGCTCTCTTTGCCTTACTCCTGAAGAAGGCTTATCTCCAGCCCTCACAGTTTGTCCATGCCCTTTGCTGGCCTCTTTCTAACTTCTCTCCTTCTGCCTGGCTTTTTCCCTCAGGGAATTTTGTCTAGGAATTACAGGGAAGCCCATCACAGAAGGTGGGTGCTGGACCTGAATCTGGTATCTTGGGCCCCTAGCCTGAATGAATGGACAGGTGTTTCTCCCACCTCCCCTTTTCTTAAAGAGCCCTAGGGATGTAGTGGAGCCCTCCTGGCAGCCCTGCCCCCATGCTCTGGTCCCATCCTGCCTGTGTGTAATCTATAAGATATACTGTGGGGCTTTGTGCCTCTGAAAGACTCCTGTCCCTTCAGCACTCCCTCCTCATGACCTAAATTACTTTGCTCTGTGTGCCCCAGAGCAGGACTTGAAGGGTGCTGGTGTCAGCAAAGGTGAAACCCAACCCTTGTGTCAACACAGGGGACATTACCAACTCCTCAACTCCACACAGGCTTCTATGTGCATGTTTTCCCCAGCAGGGCTGGGCCCTTAACATTGCCAAGGTGCTAGTGGGTCTCTAACAGGGTCCATGTTGGGAATAGAAATGTAATGAAGTCTTGACGGCTGAGGCCCTTGCCTTCCTTGCTGTGGAGTGAGGTTTACTTTTTAGAGGATTTTGAGCTAGATCTCAGCCTCCTCCTGCAGATGGAGTTGGGGAATTTGGTGCTCTTCCCCCAACCAAACCATACCTACTCCAGGGTCCTTTGGGGAATGCTAAAATGTGGCTGCCCTTGATGTGGGGAGGGGACTTACCCTCCTAGGGAGCAGCTCCAGGTGTCTGGTGGCGCTGCCAGGCTGTATTTGTGTGTGTGTGTGTGTGTGTGTGTGTGTGTGTGTGTGTGAAGGTGGGGACACCACACCTGGTCTGGGTGCCTTGTGGGGACTGGTTCTTGGTCTCATCCTAGGAGGGCTGAGAACTGGACTAGGTAGGAGGGCTGTACCTAGGCCTATGTGCCATTGCCATCAATTGGGAGCAGTGGGCTTTCATGTGGACAGTGTCTCCCTGTTCTAGAGTTGAGATAGGATGGTCACAATGAGAACCCCTGGGTTTGAGGTGGCCATGGGTAGAGGGAAGAAAGAATGTCATGTGTGTGTGCATGTGCTGGTGTGTGTCTGGGGAAGGAGTCTGCTCCTGATTTTATTTAAATAAAATAGTTTATGTAACAGTAATGGTTACTACCTCTATCATGAAAGGGAGAAGGGGGTGATGAGCAGGTTGATGGGAGCCTCTTTTGAGAAGAGTAGTTGGATGTGAGATTTAACCAGGCCAAGGGAGGAGGGAGGGCTTATGGCCACATGGCTAGGGTGAGCACATAGGAAAGGTACCCTACCCCACTTATTGGGTTTGTATGGTGGAGTGGACTTGCCAACTACATAGGGGTATGATCCATATGAATTCCACTCCTGGATGTGAGTGAGCATGAAGGAAAGGTTGCAGGATTTAGCAAATAAATGTACAGGTTGCCCGGCTAAACTTGGATTTCAGATGGTGAATGAATTTTGCTCCAATGTTTAGGTCATACTTAGTTATTTGTGGTCTATCTGAAGGTAAAATTTAACACATAAAGGAAACTCCCAATCAAGGCTTGACCTATTGTGGGCCAGGAGGAGTTTGAGTGCCTTTGGACTTCAGCCTGTGAAGCATCTGGTGGCATCAGGTGGAGAAGGGCTGAGATGAGGAGCATGAGGTACAGGAAGCCTTTGGACTGAGCCCCATCAGCGTTGCACCTGCGTTTACAGTCATGTAAGGAGCGGGGTCAGCCAAAGATGGAGAAGGTGCTGCTGGGAGGCTCGGAGACCCACTGGAAATCTGGTGAGAAATGAGGCTTAAACACCCTTAAGGGGCTAGGCAAAGGCCAGGAGTTGTAGGGACAGGAGGGCAGAACACTGACTATTGACCTCAGATTGGACATCAGAAGATGCACTAGTGCCCTTTGACAGGTACTGTTCAGGTGTGAGACTGCCTTTTCTGACCTGGCTTTATTGATAAATAATGAAAGTATCATAAGGCAGATGGGTGCCAAAATATTTTATCACAAGAAAAGCTGCTCTGACTGTATGGCCTATGACCTTGAGCAAATGTGCTTTCTAGGATGACACCCAGCTCATCATTCCCTTCCTAGTCCCTAGCAGTATGCACCTGTAAGTCTCCTGTTATGAAGGAACTCAGGAAAGAAGAGCTGGCTGTGGCCACCCAGTTTCTTGCAAAATCACCTGTCACATAAGGTAGGAATGGGGAAAGACCATGATGATGGTTAGAGCTGATGATGATTCCTCCAAGTGGAATAAAATAGCTACAGTGAAAGTGCTTTCAGCCCAATCCTGATAACGGTGGCCAGCACCCACATAGGACATGTCCTCTGCCAGGCATATGCGTTGACGCATTTTAGTTCCACAATGGGGTGGTAGCACCATAGCTGTCTTTTTCCAGAGGAGACAACAGCTACAGTGGGAGTGCCCTGCCTGCCCCAGGTTCATAGAAGGAAATGGAGGGAGTGAGAGTCTTTTCTTTTTTTCTTAATCCTCACTCAAGGATATGTTTTTATTGGTTTTAGAGAGAGAAGAAGGGAGAAAGAAAAACATTGATGTGAGAAACATTGACTGGTTGCCTCCTGTACATGTCCTGACCGGGGATCGAACCTGCAACCTAGGTATGTGCTCTTTCTGAGTACAAAACACTGGTAGAGCCTGGCTGATGTGGCTCAGTTGTTGAGCATTGACTCATGCACCAAGAGGTCACCAGTTAATTTCCCAGTCAGGGCACTGCCAACTTGTGGGCCACATCCCAGTGGGGGGCATGCAGGAGGTGGCCATTCGATGTTCTCTCTCATCAATGTTTCTATCTCTCCCTCTCCTTTCCTCTCTCTCTAAAATCAATAAAGAAAAAAATTTAAAAAACAAAACAAAAAAAACCACTGGTAGGGCTTGTTAGAAACACCCGAAAGTGGGTGGGGAGTCCAAGTGAGGAATACAAGTGCATGTGGGGCAGTAAATATAGATGACTAGAAGGGGCTGTAGTCAAGGGGGGATCTGGGAGGCTAGGAAAGGATGGGGAGCTTTGGGCAGTGCACTCCACCCACTGGGTGCAGGCTGGACAGGTGCTGGAAGGCGGTCCCCCGTCTCCAAGTCTTTCTGACCCTAGGCCTCAATTTCTGAAATCTGTCCTGAGCCACTCAAGCCAGGGCCTGTGTCTCACCCATCTTGGTGTTCTCAGGATCTGGCACATGGCACTATCCATCATGCATCTGATCACTAACTGCTGATGCTTGTATTACTCTTGACACGTTTCTTCCTTGCTTTACTTGTTAGACTTCTGCTGCTGATTTGAGGCTCCACTCATGGACTTTTGATCAGAGGCCTTTCTGCTTCCCCAGCTCTCTAGCCAGGTCTGAATTTATTCCCCCACACTTCCCAAGTTCCTCAAAGCTCTTTTGACTTATTGCAGAATTAGCCCAATGTCCCCTGTGGTGTCATCCCCGACTCCGTCTTGCTCAACATTTAACATGCTACAATAGACATAATAAAGTGACCATATGTCACATGTTATGTTGGTCTAAACTGGGATACATGAATGTGAGAGGGGCAGACCTAACCCAGGAGTAAAAAGCACTGCCACACTGTAGAGGACTGTCATTGGTCTGCCTCTGCCTTAAGGGGCTGTGTACACATGAATGACCCATTCAGCTCCCTTGGGCTTTAGTATCCCAGTCTGCAAGAAGTGGACCCCACTGGGAAGATGACCTCTTAGGTTTTTTAAAGCACTAAGATGATATGGCCATTGAAGAGTTTGAGCCTGTGAAGCATATGGTGGAGCATGTGAGCTGGTGGATGTGTTTGCAGAGAGGTCTTAGGAACAGAACATGAGAATTCCAAGTCCAGGGTTGATTGGAACCCAGCCAGAGGCAGTGGGCAGCTGCTTTGGGTGTGAGCTTATGCTCATACATTGAATCAAGGACTCTGCAGTGCTGGGGATAGGGTGGCCTCTCTTTTCCTGTGGCAGGCAGGCCTTGTTTACGACACCTGGGATAAACCAGCTGACTTGTTCATCAACATAGTTGAGGGGAGGGAAGTACAAATGAGTTTCTTCCTCATTTAGGACAGAGGAACATTTGGATGTAGGATGGAATGGCGGTCAGGTGGTGGAGTTTGGCAAGAGAAGACACTCCGTTTTCCTTAGCTACTTCATCACACATGCTTGGCCACTGTCCCCTTTTCTCTCCGTAGGGTCCTCTCCACTACATACGCAGCAAAAGGGCATGTCAGCTGTGTTGGTTCTACCCTTCTCCAGAGGTGAGACAGGAATTCTTACAGGGTTTGTGGAGCTGAGGGAAGAATGGAGGGATAGTGGAAGCTGCTGGCATGGAGGTCTTCTTGGCAGGGAGGTCCTGGAGCTGTGGGGCTTTCAGGGGCTGCCACTGTTCAGGGAAGTATGAAAGGCCCTCACTTTATGTCACCTCTCCCTTTTCCTTCGAACCTCAGTGTTTTCGCTGTGATTGCAACCTTCCACTCCTCTTGGAGAGAGGCCAGGAACCCAATTGCCCCTGTGCCTGGGCAAGAGTGTGTAGCCCCTGCTCCCCAATTTAGCTTTCTTTCAGCTGCCCTTTACTCAAACCCTTTTTCCACTTTGGACAGGATTCTGGAAGACTGATCACAAAACTTTCCCTTTCCCTCAAACAGTTGTATTTAGGAGAAGGGACTAGTGACTCAGAAGGAACCTATCAATGACAACAAAGGGTACAAGGCCTTAGGATGCTCTCCCTTGGAGGGAAGCTATGTCTTCATAGCACCCACAAAACACAAACTTAAGGTTTAAAAAAACAATGCAACCACCTATTTAGCTTACCTAACACATTTACTTTTTCTGAATGGTATGTATATTTAAAGACATATCCAGAGAGAATGTAAAAGATAGGCTAATTAATCTAGAATCATAAATGGAGGGGGGATGAGAGAAAACACTGTGTAGCAAGAGAAATCCTAAGAATTGGAGAAAGTAAAAGAAGTGAAGAGACAGGTGAATATAGGTGCACTCAGCTGCAGGGAAGGACCTCAGAGACAAAGAAGCACACCCAGGTGATTAAGCCAGTAGCAGAATGGGGCTCAGGGGTTCCTGGACACTCACTGAGCCCAGGTCTGATTTATAAACCTTATCTTGACCTGTCTCAAGGTGTCTAGGTGTGGGCCCTTCCTGGAGCTGTCTGCATTCTGCATCCATATGTCAGCTAGAAGTTTATGGCTCTTATGTCAAGAAAATCACTGATTAACCTTGTTTCAAACATGCTCCATCCTCCACTGGCTCTTACAGTGTTTGCTATCCCATAATTGGAAACTCAAGGCGTAGGCAGGGCCATTGGAGACAGAGGGAAGGGTTGAACTTCGTTTTGGAAGTGGCCATCCTATGACCAGGTACAAGAGGATCCGGGGAACTGTGTTTTAGGATGTGCCCAAGGCTCTGAGCAGCTCTGCACCAATAATTCCATGAGGATTTGTGTGCCTGGAACTCTGAAGCTGGATAAGGCCAGTCTAATCAAAACAGTGCTGTTTTCTTGAGGACTGTCAGTTCTGAGAATTTTGTTTCTTTGTGGGACATGATCTTTTAGTTATGAGCATGAACATCTCACAATGAAATGAAAAGAAATGTCTGTCACCTACCCTTTATCACTCTGAGATCCTGGTCCAGAGAGGATTCTTCTAGAACCATGCTTCCTAAAGTGTGTTCTCTAGAGCAACATAAATATCACCTGCAACTTGTTCAAAATGCACATTCTCAAGTCCCACCCACCCCAGAGGTAGTGGGTCAGGAACTCAGGGTGGGGCTGGGGTGGGATAGCACCCAGTATATTAACAGGTTTTCCAGGTGATCCTGGTGCTCACTGGAGTTTGAACAGGCAGGATTGGGGATGTGGCAAATATGGTCACTTAATTCACTTTATTTTGTTGTTGCTTTTAATCTTCACCTGAGGATATGTTTCTATTGATTTTTTTTAGATAGAATGGAAGGGAGGGAGAAAAAAACATTGATGTGAGAGAGACACATCAATTGGTTGCCTTCTGCACATGCCCCAACGGGCCAAGGATTGAACCTGCAACCTAGGTACATGCCCTTGACCAGGAATTGAACCCAGTATTCTTTGGTCTGTGGGACGACACTAACCACTGAGCCAAAACAGCCAGGGCCACTTTTTATTGGCCCAAGCAGGTCACTTGGTCTAACTTAAAAAGAATAGAAAGTACAGCCTTACCATTTACCCTGGAGGAGGAGGGTGTCTCGGGTATTTTAGGCCACAGATAGGAAAAATAATGGCTGTGCACATTATCAGGGAGGTGTCAGAAGTTGGGTTTTATGAATTTTTTTTTGGAATGCAAGTCTGAAAAATAAGGCCTTTGGAACATAAGCAGAGTGCCTTTCCTACACCAGACTAAATTAACAATTTCTTAGTGTTGATACCAGACACAGTGGGTCCAAGGCTGCCTGTCACTACTTGAGCCAAATTAAGCAGAGACAGGGTTGAATCATATATGAGCATTTATGCCAATAATGCCGGCAGTATAGAGAGAGCAGTAGGTCATTCTGTAAATTATGCTCTAACGTTTCCTATTGGTTGGCTGATTATATATGGATAAGTAAGAAAGGGGCTGCATGCAAGGGGAGGTGGGGGTGGTCAGGGTAAGGGCTACATGGTCTGTGGTCCAAATGTCTCCTAGGATCTTGAAATCCAATAGCAAAAGTAGTTAATTTTCTATGATAAGAATAGCTCTGCCCCATTCCGGGGGCTGATGAAAGGTCAGCATTCCTGAAGCAAATTCATGGAGGGGTCAGGGTCCAGGCACAGCAACCAAATCAAAGTGTGTCCTGTCTTTTGTTCTCAAAATGTATTTTCTTTTTTGAGTAATGGATCCATTAGGGCTTTGAGGCATCTTATATTTTTTTACAGCCCTGTTTGTCTTCTTGAAGCACATCCTCCAGTTTCTCAGGGTCTGTAGGAAAATCTGTGATCTATAGTCAGTAAACAACTGTGTTTCTATTCCTATGCTCTTCCTGCATCATTCCCCACTGTTAGTATTATCTCATATCTATGAGATTAGCTTTATAAGGAAAGTGTCTTGTAGTTGAGCCATATTATATCTGGCCTATTATATTTTTCCCTTATGGATTTTGGCTCTGAATTCTTTCAGGGAAAAGGGGTGTTAAGTCTCATCTATTACTGCTTCCTGCTGACAAAAGAAGGAGGGAGCTAAAAAGGGGAAAGCAGTTTTAAGTGAAACTAATAGACTGTCCATGTTTCATTGACTCAATCAAAAGTCCAAACCATTGAGTCTTATGTTCAGGACACAGTGTAGGTGGCTTCTATGATGAGGCCTATACTGTGTGAGTAAGCAATTAGGTAAATAGGGACATAGGCATATATTCAATGAAACAGAAGAACACAAAACAAAGATTAATGTATACAGTAAATCACAAACCAGTTGAGAAGATTTCCAAATGTAAGGCTTCTGCTGGGGAATGAAATCACATAGTGACAATCTGATTGTCTGCACTTAGGACATTTCTGCTGATGTCATCAGGGGCTGAGATGTGTATGGCATACAGAGACAGCCTTAAATCAAAACTTTGAAGACAGCTAACTGCATTGGAGTTTAATACCTACAATTGGGCATTGTGGTTTCCAGTTAAACACAATTCTTCTTTCTAAGATTACCCTCATTTACAAAGAGATTGTATCAAGTCTACTTTTAGTTTGGCCTGATTATATGCATAAACATAATAATAATAGTA